TAATAAAAAAGCTGGATGGCCAATAGCTAGGCAGGATTTTCAGGACAGAGAGGATGCTGGAAAGAAGGCTGAATATCGAGGAGATGCCAGGGACACAGAGCAAGCAGCATGGGCTTTACAAAACAAAGGTAATCGAGCCACATAAAAGAATATAGATGAAAAGATATGGGTTAAATAAGTTATAAGAACTAGTTAGAAAAAAGCAAAAGCTATTGGTCAAGCTTTCATAATTAATACGAAATCTCTGTGTTGTGGTTTGGAATCTGGCTAGCAGGACAGATAAAGACTCACTACAAATCCATATGTCAAAACTTCAAATCACACAGAGCAAAACATGCTAAAAGTAAGCCATCAACAGCAGAAACTAACATTAATTCATCCTAGACGTTGAGTTCACAGACAGCATGACAAGACTGATTTAGCTAGTACATTTAGGGGCACTTAGACATAAATGTTAAAAATCATTGCCAACGCAAAACTGTCACTTTGGAAGCCAGCTTAGTAGTCTCCTATACAGCCAAGCATATATTTGATATGGAATACACAGCCAGCATTTATTTGAACTGGTAAATTCTGATCTAGTATTATACTCCTAATTTATCCAAGTGTTTTGAAAAAAAAAACTTGTATATACAAAAAAACTGCACAGATCACAACACTTTTATTCATATTTACTAAAAACTTTCATAAAATGAATAAATAAAAAAATTGGTATCTTCATTGAATGGAATATTATTTGTTGCTAAAAGGAAATAAGCCATCAGTCCATAAACAGATATAGAAGAACCATAAACACATATTACTAAGTAAAAGCGATCAGGAAATAAAAGATAAAGAACAGAAATAGAGAAAATCAATTTTTTATTCTTTACTATAGTTATTTGTGTGTATGTATATGGGTATCCATATGCTATAGTATGTGGAGGTCAAAGGACAACCCGCAGGAGTCAGTTCTTTGCATCCACCATGTGGGTTCCAGGAATGGAACTTAGGTCATCAGGACTGGTGACAGCTGCCTTTACCTGCTGAGCCATATCAGCAGCTTGGGAAATACATACACATACAACTGGAGACACTAAAAGAAAATTTCCATATATTTATGACATTGAAGCTTACAACTAAATACAGTGTGTGTGTGTGTGTGTGTGTGTGAGAGAGAGAGAGAGAGAGAGAGAGAGAGAGAGAGAGAGAGAGAGCGCACACACACATTCACTATATATGCTTTGAGACAAGGTTCTCTGTGTAACCCTGGATGTTCTGGAACTCATTCTGTAGATCAAGTTAGCCTCAAACTCAGAGATCCTCCTGCCTCTGCCTCCTGAGTGCTGGAATCAAAGGTGTGCACCACCACATTGAAACTTACAACTAAATAGTGTTGTGTGTGTGTGTGTGTTTTAAAGGAAAGCCTTAGACTGGAAGGTATATTTGCTTTCCAATCACTGAACAATTACAATTAATTAAAGATTATTAGCTATACTAAATATAGTACACTACATACTACTAAGAAATCACACAGCAAGCCAGGTGGTGGTGGCGCACGCCTTTAACCCCAGCACTCGGGAGCAGAGGCAGGCGGATCTCTGTGAGTTTGATGCCAGCCTGGTCTAGAAAAGCTAGTTCCAGAAAAAAAAAAAAAAAAACTACGGAGAAACCCTGTCTCGAAAATAGAAAAAAAAAGAAAAGAAAAGAAAAAGAAATCACACAGCACAGACAACTCAGATAGATCCCTATGTCCCAACATGAAAAAAAAAAAAACCTCAAAAATAATTCATCAGAAAAACAAGTTACAGAGCAACCCTGACAGTATGCTATAGTAAAATGCAGAGAGAGTTGGCAATGGCTCAATGTATAAAAGCACTTGCCACAACGCAAGCATAAGGATTGGAGTTCAAATCTCTAAAATCGACATAGAAGCCATGCAGGTGTGGCAGCCACCTATAAGAGCAGCACTCTGGACACAGGTAGGAATCACCAGAGCAAATTGGCCAAACTGACCAGCTCCAGATTCAGCAGGGGGTTGAACTTCATAAATAAGAGCAGTTGAGAGCATCCAGTGTCAACTTTGGGCTTTCACAGGCATGTACACATATGTGCATGGATACCCATATGCACACTCATGCATACCATATATACACGCAAAAAAATAAAATGCATAGAAAAAGGCCCCAGGAAGAAAACAACAAATTGGTAACTGCAGTAGAAAAAGTACGTATGTCAAGAGTGTTTTTTTTTTTTACTCCAAGTATTTTATAATTAAGTATGCATTCTAAGCTGCACAAACCACTACAACTCCAGAAACTCCAGGGCAAAAGACACCCCTAAAACTGGACAGCATACTAGTAGTACAACTAGAAACCACAGCTCTAATGCTTGTGTAATTTGAAATAAATAAAATGGGGGGGGGCTGTCCCCATGACAACATGAGTAACTTGGTGATAAAAATGTATATATGTCAGTTAGGATAGGTTACAAAGTATACATGGTTTTCCTTTGTTTTTGTTTTCTTTGGGGTGGGCTTTTGTTACTTTGTTTCCCATTGGTTTTATTTTCTGTTGAAACAGTGTCTCCCTATGTAACTCTGGCAAGTCTTGAACTCACAGAGATCAACTTGCCTCTGCCTCCAGAGGGCTGGGATTTAATGTCATGTGCCACCACACCCCGCAGTATGTATGGTTTTTCAAAACATCCAACTCATCATGTAAAATTTGCCCATTTATCATATGTAAACTATACATCAGGAAGGCACAGTAGCACACACAGAACATAGACCGGAGGATAGCCAGCCACAAGTTCAAAGTCAGGGCTACATAGATCCTATCTTAAAAACAAATCAACAGACAGGTGATGGTGGCATACACCTTTTAATCTAAACCAGCATTCAGGAGGCAGAGGCAGGTGGATCTCTGTGAGTTCTAGGCCAGCCTGGTCTACAAAGCAAGTTCCAGGATAGGCTCCAAAGCTACAGAGAAAAACCCTGTCTCAGAAAAAACAAACAACAACAAGAAGTTTGTTTTAACCAGACATGATGGTTTACACAGGAGACCGACAGGAGAACAGCCACAACTTCAAGGTCAGCCTTGGCTACAGTATAGCAAGTACCAGGCCAGCTGGGTACAGCATGGCACTGTTTCAAAAAAATGGGGGGGGGGGTTGATTTTGAAATAAAAGTAGATTAAATACTTAAAAGTATTAGAAAAGCCTGCATCCAAAATCGCAGGGCCACATAGATACCCCAAAACAAAACTTACTAACGGTTGCTCCGCGAAGTGCAGATAGTAACTAAAATGAAATAAATTTATGTACTTCAAAGCTTACTATATATGCAATGCCAAATATGGATTAGTATTATTTTTTTAGCTGAGGAAACTAAGGCTCAGATATGTTAACATCAAAGACATGAAATAAATGGTACCTTGAAATCCCATGAACTCTAATATTTTAACTATAAGTAGAAATTCTGTTTCCCAGGCAAAATTCATTGAATGTAAAGACCTCGCCAGCACCACCTTGAATGCACACCCCCCTTCAGAGGCAGTTCCACTTATGTCTGATAAAATCCTCAGAGAACTCATAAAAGGTCAAGTTTTAATTTGGCAAGCAAAGTAACCCAACAAGCACTGCAAGCCAGGGAAAGGAAACAGCAGCCTGGGGCTGGAGAGTCCAACCCAGGGAGAGGACAGAACTCCGGCCCTGACCAAGCTGACCAAGCGTTCTCGCACCTCAGAGCCAAGAGCCAAGAGGCAGAACAGAATTTATAAAAGTGTTCTTAGGCAAAAGCACCCTCCATCCTGCTCAAAAAAAAAAAAAAAAAAAAAAAAAAGTCATTGAGAGAAGGACCGGATCTCAACAACCACCCAAAGAATAAGCCCCTGGTGCCCAACTCACAAGAACCACGTGGATGCTGAAGAGTGGCCACTAACCACCGGAGTCTGCTACCCGGGCCACCGCTTTAACCTATCCAGCGCCTAAATCACTGGGTTACCCAAGGAGGCAAAAAGAGAATGTGAGGACCAAAGAGAGCCCGCCAACCACCGCTACCAGAGAGAGCGTCACTACTCCACATAAAATGTATCAACCCCTGCTTCCTTCATTCCTCACGCTGTGGCCATCAATTGCAGGACGACTGGGATCCAGGCCACATCCTGAGGATTGAGCAGAATACAGGCACGGAGCTTAATTCTAGCTGGGAAGGCAAGTTCTCTTTCAAATTTTCCTTTCTCTCTCTTTTAAAAGTCGCTAAGACCCTTCCAACCTCTTTTCTCAATAGCTCCCACCAGCTTCCCTCCAGTACCCTACTTTCTCCAAAACCCAAGCAACTTAGGGCTCCAATTTCCCGGGGTTGGGAAACAGACTAAAGAGAGCTGAAGTGAACAGAACGAGAGACGTGAAAGTGAGCGCTTTACATTTTATATGCATACTTTCCCCGCCCAACTGTCAGCACTTCAACAGCGAAGGATGGCTGGGAGTGACTACATCGTGACCCCGGGGCTGACCGCGGTTGTCTCCGTAGCTAATCAATAAACGCTAGCAGAGAACGCTGGAAGGTCTCCCTGATTCCCCAAGGCCTGGCACGGGGAATGTAACCATAAACATTCGTCAGCTGCATCCTCCCTCTTCGCGGGACACTGAGCCCATCACGGGTGACCTGGGTGGACAGGTTCCGTCTACCGGGAGACACCAAGGGGTGATCGGGAACGAATTCCCTTCCCTCTGCCAGGGCCTGCCTGCCTCACCTGCCCTCTGCCAGGACCTGCCGCCTTCGCCCCCTTCAGCACCTAACGCGGAGCCTCCTCCGCGCGAGCCGGGCTCCCGCTGCATCAGCAGGCGCGCGCAGCCCGGCTCTGCGCCCCGCCGCCCCCGTGCGCGCGGGTGGCCGGGGGACGCCCCTCCCTCCCCGGCCCGGCGTGCCGTCTCCCCAGGGTCGCAGCTCCACGGCCGTGCGCTCCGTCACCCCGAGAGCTCCCTCCTCGCTTCTCCAGCCCCGGCGGAGGACTCCCCACCTGGCTCACTTCCCGGCCGGAGCTGAGGGGGCGTCGCGTGGCTCTCCGGCGGCCGCAGCCTCCTCCGGCCCGGCCCCCTCGACTGGAGCAGCGGCGGCGGATGAGGCGACGGCGCCCACTCAGGCCCCGGAGCCGCCCCCGCGGCGAACGTTCCCGGCGCCGGATCGCACCGCTTCCCCGCCCGGCACGCGCAGCGAGCCCGCCCCCGGCGCGAGGGCGCGAGGGCGCGAGGGCGAGGGCGGGTGCGCGCGGAGGGGCGGGGCTTCCGCCGCGAGAGGGGGCGGGGAGGTGGCCGAGTCCCCTCCCGCGGGTTCGCGCGCCCCCTCCGGGCCTCTGCGGTTCGCCGGCCGCGGAGGCGGAGGCGCGCTTCCACTCCACAGGTAGCTGCCGGGCGGCTGGATGCTGCGCCGACGTGACTGCCCCGTAAGGAATGCAAAGAAACATCCCGCGAATGATTCACCCGGGCCTCGAGCGCGGGGTCCTGCCCCAAGTGACTTTCCACGTTGACTCAGCAGGCTCACTGAGCACTGACTCTGCGCCCGGTGCGCGGCGGACATGGTCTGGGTCATTGCCCCTGGTGCCCAGGAGCGCATAACTTAGGGGGAAGAGCAGTCTTGCGAAGGACCGAATCGGGTCACCTGCGCAATGCCAAACCACAGCCGGATGCTGCGAGAGGATGAGGAGGAACGGATTACTTCCGCTTAGTTGTGCCGTAATTCCTGAAGGTGGGAACATTTAGACATTAGTTAAACAGCTTGGGCAAAGGAGCCCGGGGTGACAAAGCTTTACCAGCCAATTCATATTACCATTTTTCAAAGGTAATTCATTCATATTATGGGTATGAGTGTTTGGCCTACAAGTATGTGTGCATCACTTGTGTGCCCCCCCCCCCGGAGGTTAGAAGAGTATTGTTGGATCCCCTGGAACTGCGAGCTGCCATGTGGGTGCTGGGAAACCAAACCCAGGTCCTCTCACAACATCAAAGTGATCCTAATTGCTGAGCTATCTCTCCAGCCCCTCATTATTACCTTTTCCTTTTGGTTTGTTGTTTATTTGTTCAAGGTAAGGTTTCCCTGTGTAAAAACTTTAGCTGTCCTGGGACTCTCTCTGTGGACCAGGCTGGCCTTGAACTCACAGAGATTCACCTAACTCTGACTCCTGGGTACTGGGATTAAAGGCTTAAGCCACCACAACTGGCCTTGTGGTACCATTTTTGTATAGAATCCTTTCCAAACTCTTTAGGAACAACCAAGTTTTTTTTTTTCTTCGAGACAGGGTTTCTCTGTAGCTTTGGAGCCTGTCCTGGAACTAGCTCTTGTAGACTAGGCTGGCCTCAAACTCACAGAGATCCGCCTGCCTCTGCTTCCCGAGTCTTGAGATTAAAGGCGCCACCACCAGCTAGCCAAGTCTTCTTCTAATGGCTCAAAAGGTCATTTTTCCCCCTCAACATTACCTAAGACAACAGTGTGGTCCCTTGACTACTGGTGCGTGTGTGTGTGCATGTGGAAATGCAGCTCCAGCCTCTGCATTTCGAGGACGCTTTTTGTAGCGTTCTGGCGCCTTCTGGCAAGGCAGAGCGTGCCACCTGCTGCGATGAGCCTGGCAGCCTGCCTCCAGAACACCCTCTTCCTCCTCTTCCCACACAGGGAGGCAGTGCTGATAAAACTTTAAGTCGGGTGGTTTTTTTCTTTTTCTTTTTTGAGGGTGGGGAATACATCGCTTTTCACACAAGAATGGTGTGACTATTTTGCATGTTGGAGGAGGCTCACTTGTTGCTGAGTAGGGACTGCTCTAACCGTGTTAAAATTCTCAGGCTATAGATAAGAGACGTTGAGTTTCTTCTCTTACCATTCATTGAGCGCCTTCTATGAGGAAAGGCTCTGGAAGGGTAGAAACATTGACTCTGAGGAAAGAGGTAGAGCCTGTAACTTGAAACTGTAGACGCCCAGCATGGTGTCTCAAACACCTGTATTCCTGACTCTCAGGAGGCTGAGGCCTCTGAGTGGGAGGCCATGCTCAACTACAAAGTGAGTTCCCCGCCAGCCTGGGCTGCACAATGAGCCACTGTCAAAAAGGAAAATAAATAAGCAATCAGACGTTGCCTGGAACTTTATTTCAAGTTTGAGCTACACTATTATAAAGTTCCCCAGAAACTCGCTAGTTTACACCTCTTCGTCTCTTGAGATTCATCTCCTCACATCCTCACGCAACTTTTCAAACATATCATTTCCCTCTCATATTTCAAGATTATCGATGTCTCACTCCTACTTGTCTTTTCCTACATTATCTATGGTGTTTGAGCCTTTCTTGTCCTAAGGAGGGAGATTCTGCTCCAGCTCCTGCCCCCTCCGTATTCTCTTTCATACACGTCTTAAAAAATCCTACACACAGCTCTCCCTCTGCAGCAGCCTGTCCACCCGTGGCTGTGACTCCGCCGCACTGACGACTGGCTTCAACTTTAATGCCGCCATCCATTTTTGAGCCCTTGTATTACTAGAACCTTCAGTGGCATTTGATAGCACAAGTATTATGCTCTTTTAAACTCCTTCAGCTTTGTGACGAGCCTCCACCTAACAGACTGCTACTCACCCATCTGATTCCGCTCATCCCCCACCACACACTCCCGTGCATTCACATATACTCCCTCCAAGCCCTGTGTCTACCCTTTGTCCTCATTTTCTCACATATCAATGGCTCCTAAATGAATTTCTAACTTATAAAAGTACAAGCAAAGGCCTGTCAGTGGTGGCGCACTCCTTTAATCCCAGCACTAGGAAGGCAGGTAGGTAGAGCTCTATGAGTTCAAGGCCAGCCTGGTCTACAGAGTGAGCTCCAGGACAGCCAAAAAAACTGTTACACAGAGAAACCGTCTCAAAAAAAAAAAAAATACAAGCAAAAATGTTTCTTACTTGAAGCTTTTCTTTGGAGGCTACTTTATCATGAAAATGGCTAACCAGAACAGTTGGCATCAAACTCCTAAGAGGAACACACAGATCCAGGGAAGCCTGATGCAGCATTTTGTAGAAGTGAATGGAAAGAAAATGCAAGCAAGGGGTTTTCTAGACCAACCACCCATGTGGTTTGTCAAACAGCAGCACTAGTAAGAAAGTAGTATACAAGATGAAGGTACGGCAGATTCGGTTGCATTTAGTCCGCTCTGGCTTGTAGGTGCCCGTGGCCACGTGGCGGTTCCCCTCCTGCATGTCTGAGTCCAGACTCTTCTTGTGAAGAGACTAGACGTGTCTGATAGAGGGCACCACTAATAACCTCATTTTAGGGTAAGCATCCTTTTAAAGACCCTATCTCCAAATACAGTCACACTCTGAGGTGCCAGGGGCTGGGATTTCAACAACCTAAATGTAAGAGCTGAAACTACAAACTTCCGGGATGAAAATGTGGGTGTCATCTCGTCACCTTGGGCCTGGTACAGCCTTCTGGGAGACAGCACTCAAAACACAAGCCAAGTCCCAACTCAGTTCTCCATGGCTGTGATTTTTAGCTGACCCAAAACAACTTCGAAAGGAAAGGGTTAATTGTATCTGCCACTTCTAGGTAGCAACCCACCATGGAGGGATTTCAGGGCAGGAGCTTGAGGAAAGAACCTGGAGGCTAGAGCTGAATAGGAGACCATGGAAGAATGCTGCTTACTGGCTTGCTCTCCATAGCCTGCTCAGCCTGATTTCCTAGACAACACAGGACCACCCACCCAAGGATAGCACCACCCACAGTACCCTCAGCCCTCCCATATTAATCTCTACTATTTCCTAGACATTTGCCTTCAAATCAATCTGAAGGAAGCATTCTCAGGTGAGGTTTCTCTTCCCAGATGACTCTGACTCATGCCTAGTTAACAAAAAAAAAAAAAAAAAAAAAACCCAACCTACTAACTGGGCTACATTGTACCCTGGCATCGCATACAACATACGTGTATTGAAATATGCACGGTCATTTTTAAATATGTACACTTATTCCATTAACTGAAGTTTTGGAAATATTTCAAGGAGATAAAAGTATTAGCTCTCCTGATTTTTTTTTCCTTTCCCCACGGTATATGCATATGTCAAATTATCCCATGGCACCCCATAAATACATACAACTATACTAACTTTTTGTGATGTACGTGCAGGTCTGTGTGCAGCTACACATGTAAGTTCTGTTGCTTGTGCACATGTGTGCGCAGGTAGACAGAGGCCAGGGGCCAGCCTCAGGAGCTATCTATCCATCTTGGGTTTTTGTTTTTTAAGACAAGTTCCCTCACGGGCCTAGGACTTGCTGAGTAGGCTAGGCTGGCCCAACAGCAAACCCCAGGATGCAGTGATCCCCACAGCTCCAAAACCAGCACCCACATACTCAGCTTCATACTTGTGTGCTGGAGATCAAACTCAGCCCCCGCTTTGCTGGCAGCGATCTCTGCAGCCTCCAACTTTAATAACTTTGAAGGACTGTTTTGTATCGTGTAAACTTTGTGTGAATTGGTTTGCTGTGGTTGTTAATTGGTTTATTTTGAGATGGTGCTTCTCTTTGTAGCTCTATCTAGCCTTGCACTCCTAAGCCTGGAGCTTCCGCCTCCTCAGGGTTGGGACCGCAAATGTGACCACCTTGCCGGCTAACATGACGATCATCAGGGCTATTTTTCACAATAAAGCACGTGTGCTTTATGACTCTGAGTAGAAGACTGTACAAACATAAACCAAAATATTAGCAGAGGCTATTTCTGGGTGATAAGATCACAAGTTTTAAATTTTCTTTCTATTTATTTATACTTTCGAAATTGTCTTAAAGGAAGAGATACTTTTTTGAAAGTAGTGAAAATACTTTTAAATGTCTATGCCAGAATCCCAGAATGGGGCCTCACACCTGTCAGCCGCCAAGAGTTAGGGAGGAGAGCCACCAAAAGTTCAAGGACAGCCGAGACTACATAGTGAGTTCCATGTCAGGTTGGGCTATAGAGTGAGACTCTATCTCCCGAAGAAAAAGGGGGGAAAATTGATGGTAGGACGAACTTGAGTGACATTCTACAGCCTGTGTATCCAAGTCTGGATTGTGCAGGTTATAAGTGATCTGGGGGAGGGGCGCAGCGAAGCCGCTGAAGTCATGTGACTCTGGATTGGGTGGGAGGGTAGCAGAGAGTGGCAGAACGAAGCTGCA